CAATAAACACAGACCAAGACTCCCAACCAACCAGGATGAAGAAAAAAACATTCTAACACAGCAGTAGGCTAGCACCAAATTTAAAACAGAAATGGCTGTGAAAGTCTGACTCACAGACGAACACAATACAGAAGCCTGATGATGGCAGATGAGATTCTGCTGAAATGTTGCTACAACTTTAAAAGCACAACTATAATGATGTGGGAAAATACCCGAACAAAGCTGAATACCATACATGTAAGTACCCGCAAAAACTTAAGAAAACACACACACACACACGTGTGTGTGTGTGTGTGTGTGTGTGTGTGTGTGTGTGTATGGTATTCAGCTTTGTTCGGGTACCATACATATAAATACCTGCGAAAACTTAAGAAAACAAATATATATATTCATTCATTCTAGCATAACCACAGAAATGAAACTGCTAATTTACAATTGGTATCACTTACCTGTAACAATTACAGGTAGCCCTCGACTTATGACCATTTAACAATTGTTCAAAGATATGACTGAGCTGAAGAAAGTGACTTACACAGTTGTCACACTTAGGACCATTGCAGTGTCCCTGCAATCACATGATCAAAATTTGGGTGGCAACTGGCATATACTTATGGCAGTTGCAGCATTTTAGGATCATGTAATTCCCAGGGTGCTTTGACAAGCAAAATAATTGGGGGAAACCGGATTCACTTAAAGACAACAGCAAAACAAAGGTTGTAAAATCAGGTGGGATACACTTGACCACATTGTTTAGTGAAGGAAGTTCCAATCCCAATTGTGGTCGTAAATCAAGGACTGTCTGTAAAGAGAAATATAAAATATCCAAATACTTTATTTCACAGGGTTTTTTTGTGAGAGTTACAACTCTCACAAAAAGAGAGTTACAGATTTAGTTTTATTTCTTTGCTACTATGTTACATATTAGCAAATTAGAATTATGAGGAAGTAAAAATGTATGGAATTACATTTAGACTTTTTTTTAACTTTATAAGAATTACAGTAATTAGGTGTGTGTTTATTATACCACACAGATATATAATGTGGAATAGATTTGAATATACTAATTTCTTGGACATTTTATGCTTTGTTAATTGTTAATTGTATTCTTGTATTTATAGCCATTTTGGGCAGGAAATTGCCTCAAAAGAAAGCTCACCATAATATTTTAGTCCATTTACAGGATGCAATTGACTCCTAGTATTAAAAATCTAAATTAATATTCATAAAGTGATACTATGATATGTAACTTTGAAAGGTCACCAAATGAACTGTTGTAAGTCAAGGACAACCCTGTACATAGAATGGACTTACAACCATTCATTTAGGGACCGGCTGAAGTTACAACAGCACTGAAAAAAATATTTATGACCATTTTTCACATGACTGTTGCAGCATCCCCACAGTCACATGATCAAAATTCAGACACTTGGTAATTGACTCATATTAATGGCAACTGCAGTGTCCTGCGATCACTGCAATTGATCTGGTTACATCTTTTGTAACCTTTTGGCAAGCAACGTCAACGGGAAAGCCAGATTTACTTAACAACCATGTTACTAACTTAACAACTACAATGACACACTTAACAACTGTGGCAAGAAAGGTTATAAAATGGGACAAAACTCACTTAACAACTATCTCACTTTGCAACAGAAATTTTGGGCTCAATTGTGGTCATATATCAAGACTACCTGTACCAACAGTAACAGTGCTTTGGGGGGAATCCCAAAACAACTAGAACACTACTTGAATACTATCTTTTATAACAGTTGTTCTACTTTTACTTGCAGGTCTTTGATTTTGTGATTTTCTCCAGTTCTTTTCTATTTTGCTGCCTCCAGGTACTGCAATGTCCACTAGCCAGACTTGTTTTATTAGCAATTGTTTAGTCTGAGGTGTAATATGACAGGTGCCTAACTGAATTCTAAAGTCCCAGAGCAATTTAATTTCTTAATTTTCTATTACTTTGTTTATTTTATGGCCGTACCAGTTACTTGCAGGTAAGTGGTATTTCTTGCAGATATTCCAATGAACCACCATTGCTATTTTGTTTGTAGCCAGTCTACCACCTTCAGTTACCATCTTGAATAGTTTAATATTCATGATTTGCCTAGCTCACCTCAAGCGTAGACTCTTCTTCTTTTCCTCTACTGTGAACATGACTTTTAAAAGGTTTCTTTGGAGGGTGTTGTTTTTAATTTATAGACTTTCTATTTTTTAACAAAGCAGACAAATCCTCTTATGATATGAAGGCTATTCAAGAGCATTTGATTATCATTTTTATCTATTTGTATATTCAAAATCTTTTAATAATGTCAGTAGGATCATCTCAGTCCCATGCTTGTTAAAACTCTTAAGGAATTCTAGAAGTTTTTTTAGACTTTTAGAAAGTTCAACTGGTCTTAGCTCTAGAAGAAAGCTGGCATACATATACAATGAAGTATGTTACAGATGTCTAGATAGCCAACAGAATTTGGGGCTCAAATGGCTACATTATAAGCATATAATTAAAGCATACATACATACATACATACATACATATATATTTAGAACAAGCATGAGCTTGATTTTAAGATGCTATGTTCTTTATGTTTTTTCCTAGCCCTCTAATAAAATATTTTTCCTAAATAATGCTGACAATATATTAAAAAATAAATTCAAGGCACTTACATGACCTGAAAACAATTTTGGATTGGTAATAAAAGGTTCTCTAAAAACTTTTATTATGAGATTGAGTTCCCTTATATATTGTCGAACTTCTGCCATGAATGACTTTACAAGATCATAATAGGTTTGTTCTCCTGATGTGGAAGGTTCCTCATCAGATAACGTCAGGGTACTAATATCCTCTACATCTTGATGGAACATATCCATCAACACCTGTTTGAAAAAGAGGAAGATCTTAATACCAGATATCAAAAGACTATTGTATTGTACAATTGAATAATAAACTGTCACTGTGAAAATTAAAATAATACACTATCTCCCAGAAGTGGGTACACCCCTCACATTTTGTAAATATTTAAGTATATCTTTTCATGTGACAACACTGAAGAAATAACACTTGGCTACAATGTAAAGTAGTGACTATACAGCTTGTATAACAGGGTAAATGTGCTGTCCCCTCAAAATAATGCAACATAGAACCATTAATGTCTAAACCCCTGGCAACAAAAGTGAGTACACCCCAAAGTCATAATGTCCAAATTGGGCCCAAAGTGTCAATATTTTGTGTGGCCGCCATTATTTTCCAGCACTGCCTTAATTCTCTTGGGCATAGAGTTCACCAGAGCTTCACAGGTTGCCACTGGAGTCCTCTTCCACTCCTCCATGACAATGTCATGGAGCTGGTGGATGCTAGAGACCTTGCGCACCTCCACCTTCTGTTTCAGGATGCCCCACAGATGATCAATAGGGTTTAGGTTTGGAGACATGCTTGGCCAGTCCATCACCTTTACCCTCAGCTTCTTTAGCAAGGCAATGGTTGTTTTGGAGGTGTGTTTGGGGTCGTTATCATGTTGGAATACTGCCCTGCAGCCCAGTCTCTGAAGGGAGGGGATCATGCTCTGCTTCAGTATGTCACATTTTGGCATTCATGGTTCCCTCAATGAGCTCTAGCTACCCGGTGCTGGCAGCACTCATGCAGCCACAGATCATGACATTCCCACCACGCTTGACTGTAGGCAAGACACACTTGTATTTGTACTCCTCACCTGGTTGCCATCACACACGCTTGACACCATCTGAACCAAATAAGTTTGTCTTGGTTTCAGAGGACCACAGGACATGGTTCCAGAAATCCATGTCCTTAGTCTGCTTGTCTGCAGCAAACCATTTGTGGGCTTTCTTGTGCATCATCTTTAAAAGAGGCTTCCTTCTGGGACGACAGCCCTGCAGGCCACTTTGATGCAGCATGCAGGGTATGGTCTGAGCACTGACAGGCTGACCACCACCCCGCCCCTTAAACCTCTGCAGCAATACTGGCAGCACTCATACATTTCCCAAAGCCAACCTCTGGATATGACGCTTAGCATGGGCACTCAACTTCTTTGGTCAACCATGGCAAGGCCTGTTCCGAGTAGAACCTGTCCTGTTAAACCGATGTATGCTCTTGGCCACCGTGCTGCAGCTCAGTTTCAGGGTCTTCGCAATCTTCTTATAGCCTAGACCATCTACAATTCATTTTTTCAGACCCTCAGAGAGTTCATTGCCATGAGGTGCCATGTTGAACTTCCAATGACAAGTATGAGAGAGTGAGAGCGATAACACCAAATTTAGCATACCTGCTCCCTCTTCACACCTGAGACCTTGTAACACTATGGAGTCACATGACACCAGGGAGGGAAAACGGCTACTTGTGCCCCATTTGGACATTATCACTGAGGGGTGTACTCTTTTGTTGCCAGGGGTTTAGACATTAATGGCTGTATGTTGTATTATTTTGAGGGGACAGCACATTTACACTGCTATACAAGCTGTATACCCACTACTTTACATTGTAGCCAAGTGTCATTTTTTCAGTGTTGTCACATGAAAAGATATTCTTAAATATTTACAAAATGTGAGGGGTGTACTTATTTCTGTGAGATACTGTATATAAGCAAGTACTTGTCTGAATGAAAATCATATCAGCAGAAGGATTCTTACAATGATACCTTACTTTAAGTAAGCATAACAACTCAAGTAGATATTTCATCACAATCTCATTTGACACTCAAGGAAGCTGCTAATTATACAGAATTGTGCAACAGTCAGAATCTCAAGATTCTGTTAAACATTTTCACTCAGAAATACTGATGAGTGCATCAATATCATGAACCACCAACTGAAGAATGGAAAGCGCAAAGGAGATGTTCATTATTTCCTTTTTAATGCTGCAGCCTTTTGAAAAATTGTTGGAGGACCAAGATATTAGCATGAAAGATGATGCTAAGAGAAACAAATGAGAATTCAATTTCCTACTTCTCAGAAGCTCATGTCCATGTCTAAATTCAAATAGTACCAAGATGACATAGCGATAAATATAACTGTATATACCTTATCAGCACACATTGCCACTTTGATGTCCTGCTTAGTAATTTCATCATGCCTTATATTTCGAACATAGTTTCCAACCAGTTTTAAAATATCTGCAGAAATGTATTCCAATACAGCTACAATGTAAACAGATACTTGATGGTCAACTTTATATCCCAGGACTTCCTGAAAGAGATAAACTTATTTTAATATTTCATTCAGACACACTTAGTAAATGTATATATACATTTAGAGTACACCATGGTGGTCAAAGGAGCAAAGCTTAACTTTTTATTTCTGAATGTCTGTTTTTAAAGTTTTTATAAAATGCCGTATGAGCCATACTTTTTGGATTTTTCTTTCACTTTACTTATGAAGAATTTAAAGTATTTCTTGCACATCTGTTATTTTGCTGATGTAAAAAAAAGTATTTATTTGAAATATTTATATGGCTCAGGCAATATGACTCAGATTGGAACATAAGAGCTAATAAAACACAGCACAAAACATTAAAAACCATATAAACCAATAAAATGGTGATCAGAACTGAAATACACAATATTCACTAACTGGGAGTTCTGCTCATCCTGAATCAAGCACCCAGAGACATAACAGATCTTAACTGACTTACTGCAAAGTCAGGCCCAACCATTTGTCAATGAAGGTACGGGCGGGGAATCATTCCAAAGAGCAGGGACCAGCACTGAGAAGGCACACATGGGTCCCACAAGCTGATACCCAGAGTAAACTATCTTGCAGCATATGGGATGAACAGATACTCTTGGGAGCAGACAGTCCTCAATATAACCCAGAATTTGATTGTTCTGTATTGGATGTTGCACTATTTAATCAAATGTTTGATATTAGTATTTTATGGAACAAAGTATAGTAACTCAGATGACACATTGGTGATGATGGCATATGTATTTTTAGAATTACATTGTATTTTTACTTTACTTTAAATTATTTAATATTGCCGCCCACTCCAAAAGATTCTGAACAGCTTCCAAATTCAATAAAAAGAGCAGAATAAAAGAGTTAAAACAAAACCTATACAGTAGGCAGCCCAAACTAAGGCAACTAGAACTAGAAATGATGCTGACAGGATGGAATAAGGATATTATGGGGAATTGACCAATAGATCACTCCTACATTAACACCATGCCTTGGAACAGAGGCAGGTTTATAATTTCACCTCTTTTAGAGAAGTATCACAGAGCTGTCAACCAGTAGAACACCATGAAGGCTGCATCATTTTCCCTTCACTGGAAGTATTTAAACAAAGGATAGATAGCCATCTATCCAAAATATTTTAATAGACCCTCCATGAAACGGATGATTAGACTACATAATCTCTGAGATCACTTTCAATTCTATGATGTTATGAAAATTGTAACCTTCAACCTTTCTCCAGAGCTATGGCAAGTTTAAATGTTCCAAGTCTCCAAGTCTCATGTGTCACAGACACATATAACAAGGAAGAAATCCTTTTCTCAACCTAAAGAGAAGGGCAGGGATAATGCCTGGTCTTTGCTTTGCTGAAGCACCTGCAAGTTCTTCATCATCTAATCCTCATCAGAGTAACGGGAGAAGTAGCACACTGACCGTCAAACTTTTTACTGGCTACTAATGCCAGTTAAAATATGCAGATATCTAATTGCAATCTTTATTAAGAGTGACAGATGGTTTAAACCGATCTAGATAGATTGGAAAATTCTATTTGTAAGTTTTAAGAAATTAATTTCTCTTTTAAAATATTACTGGTTATTTGAAAAGCAAACTAATCTATTGAATTTGTAATATTTTATATATTGTCTTCATATTACTTACCTTTAAGAGTGGATGAATTTTTTCTACTGGAAGAAATAACGGATTTCTTCGCTTCCTCTTTTCAATGGCAGATTGCGCATCAGCTATTGCCCATTTATCAATTGGATGAGGAAAACTTTTTTGGACACGATCCTTGGAACATACAGAGGAAATATATAGAGTTAAATATATAAACAGTAGATAGCTTTTTGCATTACCATGTCCTGAGTAACTAAAGCTGCTTTTGGGGGGGGGGGGGGGGGGGATTTTTTAACAACTCTATTTCATTTTACCTTCAAAGCACAATGTATAACATGCACAGCAAATTATTTAATCCAAAATTATAATGGGATAGGCTCAAATAAACCATGCACAATTGATAAGACTTGTGGTGGTGCGATGGTTAGAATGCAATATTGCAGGCTAACTCTGCTCACAGCCAGGTATTCAATCCTTACTAATCAAGGTTGACTCAGCCTTCCATCCTTCTGAAGTTGGCAAAATGAGGACTGAGATGGTTGGGGACAATATGCTGACATTTGTAAACTGATCAGATCGCTGTAAAGCACTAGGGACCAGTATATAACTTTACTGCTATGCATTTAAAACAATTAAGCAAATTAGTTTTATTTGACATCTTTAAAATAGTTATGGCATTAGACAAATATCCCTTCAGGGGAACATTTGAGAACTGCAATGTCACCAAAGAATGCCTTCATTCTACACTTCTCTTACAAAGGTACTAAGAGAAGATCCTCATCCAATTATTTTAATGCACAGGTGAGCTAATGGGGGGGAATACTCTTAAGATCTTTAGGATTTAAGATACTTTGAATATAAAGATATGAACCATTAATTAGAGTCATGCTCAGAGGTGAATGGGCAGCTGTTAAAATTTTATTCAGAATATGATCCCACATATTCAAATCAGCTAACATTCCAACTACAAAATTCTGCAGTAGCAAAAATAGCTGGTGTTTAGTATATTCTGCGGTCACAGATACCAACATACTCTAACAGGGTCAAACACAATTTGCTGCTTCATAACATTTTATTTACTTACTTACTTATTTTTCCTCCCATATCCCATATCCTTCCTTTGTGCCAAAGGAATTTTCAATATAGCAGTAGAAATAAACAATGCAACATAGCAAAATTATGTCAAAATTTTATAACAATTAAATACATATTTTATACTTAAGTATCTATAAGTTAAAAATAAATTATGGGTACTTCTTAATACAGGTAGGTCTCTTTAGGTCTCTTGTGACTTATGATCACAATTGAGACCAGAATTATCATTAGAAGTCATACCAGTCATAAATCAAATCAGACCTGATTTTATGACAATTTTTATAACGGTTATTAAATGCAGCCACTTTGAGCTGTCATTAAACAGTTTTAAGTTGAGATCTACTTGTATATCAACAAGAACATCAATAATGTATAGAATGAACTACGTGGTACCTCTACATCTGAGAAACTTCTTGGCTGAGCTTGACACAGCATATTTAGTAACTGCAGAATTAACTCCTCAACATACTGCAAAGCATCTTCTGTAGAAGATAGTTTAGGGTGGACTTGCATCTGAACCTATATTCAACAAATAATTAAACTTATAAGACAATTCATTACAAAAATGTGGACAGCTAAGAGCCTGGTGGCCTACAAAAGGCATATTAAAAACCTTAGATTCAGACCATAGACATCAAGAGTATTTAAACTGTGAAAGGAAAAAGACACGAAGAATGAAAGCAGCATTACGGTTAAGACAAAGAACTGTGCATTGAAAATTACTGGTTCAGATTTGTGAACCACTATGAACTCACTGGATGAAATTGAATACAAAGGCAAGAAAGTGTTCAAAGAAGTATAAAAACTTTGACTTGGTCATCTTAAACCAGCAGACAAGGTGATTAACACATTTCCTTTACAGAGTACCATTTCTGATTGCAATTCAAATGACTGAAATTGCATATTAAAAATTATCCCAAAAACTTATTTCTTGGAATATTGAAGCAACAAGGGAAAAGGACATTTGTAATTAACAGATATCCATATCTTTTATTATTTTAAAAATATGAAATAAGCTATATATAAAACATAGGTGATATATTATGACATTTATGTTTTATGACATTTATGTTTAAAGTATACTTTAGTTTTTGCTAGGAAAATGGGCAAGAGATAGTGCAACAACCTTTTAAAGAGCAAAATGGTGGGAATCCTAAACTTCACCCTAAGTAACACAGAAGTATTGAAAATTCAACAGGTTGACCAACTTTTAAGTACCACTGGGCACAAAACTATTATAAAGGATATCAGTAATATGCTAATATTGAGTGAGATGGGAAGTTTCTAAATTTGATGTATAAAATAAGTTTAATTTTATTTATCTGCAGAAAGCATGATTATAACATGAAGAAACTGAAGTAATGTTTTACTTTAGTGACAAGATTAAGCATATAAAGTATTTAGAAACAGCAGTAAATCTGAATATTCATTTATACTTTCCAAAATATATAAACACTACTGCATTAATTTATTTTCCTATAACTTTTACCTTGATTGAAACCTATATTTTAACAATACCATATTCGCTTACTCAGAAAATGACACTGCTTTCAATTGTCAAGTTTCATAAATATTTAGAGATGTAAAAATCATATGGTGTTCATTGTAAAGCAGACAACAAAAAGACTCAACTTGTATTAGCACAATTCTTTAGGTGCACCCATTTGATGAAAAAGACTAGTATCTGAATCAAACAAGAAATAGAATTAGATACTGATGAGACAACAATATCTGATGCAGAATACCCTCCTCTTTATTTTATAAACAAAGGAGATTCAAAGGCTAGGATTTGATTGTAGAACATGCTAAAGCCAGAATGTGGCTTGTTTGGTTTTGAATATTAAATAGGCCATCATTAATAGAAGCAAAGCTTATCACATTTGAGAAAATATCTACTAAGCACTCTGCCCTTAACAGTGGCCAGTCAGATATTGAAGAACCTTATAAGCAGGAAATAAAGGTAATGATTACCTGCTTGCTTGCCTCAAACAGTTTCTCAGTTTTATTGCCTTGGTATATGAAGTCCTATTTAATTAACATACAATCAGTTTCCCATATGTGTATCCAATGGCTAGGTATCCTGTACATATATACATACTTGTCAGATCTTATGAGTTGTCAGTATGAGAACTTCAGAAATCCGTAGACCTCACAAATTTCAATCATTTAATGTGTCCTGGAAAAATATTGTGCTACAGCAGTCATCACCTGAAAATGCTTCTCTACAGTGATCCTATCTAAGAGTGCAGCCCTAAATTTATGTTGCCTGGTGAACATGAGTAGGATATTGCAGAGATAATGGTCTGAGTGGAAGGTGGAGGTTCCAATAATACAGTACATTTTATTTGCCAAGGATTGGGAAAGATGTAAAGTTCTGTCAGCAATGGCTGGATGAAGGGTACTTTGGTAATTGGGCAGCTTAGCTGAATTCAAACTGTTGGAGTCACCAATTATGCCAATGGTACAGTTAATCTACAACCCTTGTGTTCAATGGGAGGATGCTTAAAATACAACATTGCACAGAGCTGAAAAGTTTGAAGTTGTTCTTCACTTACTTTCTAGGTCAGCAAATACCAGCAAAGCTGGGAATAAAGGAGACTTACTTTCCAAAGCTATTAGTTCCTTTCTTTTCCCTTCATTATTGTCTTCCCTCATGTTTTGTGTACATTATTTTTGTATACACAATTCAACAAATATCATATAGAAAACTGAAATAAACAGAAATCAACACAAAGATAATTCCAATATTGTATGAGGTTAAAACAGACATAGACCACAGCTTATGGTTTCATTTCCTCCTCCCTTGCCAAAGTTGATTTCTGTTTGGGTCTTTTGTCCATAGTAGACACTGAGGCTTAATTTCTGCAATCCAAAACATCAGTTACATATTTTTTTATGAGTAGGACTTACACTAAGATTTCTAAACAAGCACAGTAATCACACTAAGTGATTTGACTAGCAAATAAGAGACATTAATATTAACTAAATGTGAAAAGAGCAGGTAGTTTAAATATAGGTGAAAGTATTTGTGTGTGTATACACACACATTTTTGAATTACAACTAATTACTATTCTAGAATTAGATTAAAAAGATATTTCAATAGTATCAACATTCAATGCAATACTACCAGGTAGTAGTAAATTTAAGATATTGGATAATGATTATGAATTCAACATTCAGCAATAGAGGTTTTATTTGGTGACTTGGGATGATCATTTTCTCATCTCATCTCACTCTATGCATAAGAATAGCATGGGGAAAAAAATTGGAGGAGGAACTGCAGTGTCCCCTATATTGTACTCTTGAAGGCAGCAAAGCTAACACATAAATGAAATAGATACTATTGATAGCAACACTTCCTTTAATTAAACTATAGCTTGTAGTAGTAGTCAACTGACAGATTTCCAGTAAACAAGGTAAAGTAGGGAAGCAGCTGCAAAACCTTATGTTTTTCAACTGGAGCGTAAAAGTTTAAGCACAATCTTGATGTAACACATACTTAAATTTCAGTTGCTCTGAAAAACTTAATCTTTGATCACTGCTTCAATCAAGAAAATGCAATGCACGCAGCAATATATATATAACATGCAGAAAACAGTCATTCTGATAAATGAAACAGCAAAACCCCATAACCTTTTCATCTTCACATAAGTTATAAGAAATCTGCAATAAATGCTAACTTTAATTCAGAGTAACCTGGCTTAAAACCAGGCTAGCACATGCTAGTCAAGAGAATTATAATAATTAAACATGATGCAGGTTTGAAAGAAAAACATACTCATATATTCATTGTACAGCATTATCCATTAGATAGATTTATATAATGCCTTTCATCATAGCATCCAAAATACCAAGTAAGATTTCCCGGTGGTCTCCCATCCAAGCACTTAATCCTGAATCATTTATTTTCAGCAAAATCCTTGATTCATGTCGAAATTAAAATAAGAGAATACATAGGAATGGCTCTAGGAAAAGCAAAGCAGAGCACCAGTTTCTCATAAACAGTTGGAGTAGTCTTCTAATATCTCAAGGCTATTTAACTTTCCCAATATTCACTCCTCTAACATGCTGAGTTACTTGCACATGTTATTATGATCAATCTGAATTTTTTTTTGAAAATACTCTTAATATTAACGTCTTCTTGTTGTGTGTCTGCATATTCTTTTAGTTCCTTCATTTCCCCCCCTCCTTTTCCACTATCTGTTTCTAGTCAGATACAAGAGACTAATGTATGTTATGACCAGTAAGTAATTGCTGGGGGCTATTTTCAACCCAGTGCATGGATTTCTCTACTGCAGTCTAGCATACATTTTTGCAGAATGTGCATGCTGGTTTTTCCCCAAGGCAAATTATGCAGGTACCAAAAACCACTGACATTCGATTATCACAATTCCCTGGTGTATATCCAAGCAATTAGGTGTATATCCAAGTAATTAGGTGTATATCCAAGTAATTAGGGAATAGGTATAGGTTCTCCCGCGGAAAGTTACCTAATACCTCAACTAATTGCCAACGGTCATCAACCTCAGGCGCTAACTACGTAACTGTATCTAGTCTTTATGCGTTATCTAACTAACCTATCTCTAATCTACACGCATTATCTAACCTTCACGGTCTCATCTGCAAGCCTTCTTCTCGAGGTTATGTGTAAATCCAACGTGCGCTGGAAGGAGAAAGCCTCTCTCACCTTTTTCAGGGCGGCCACAAGCAGACCCCGCCACTTGGGTGCATTCTCTTCACTGAAGAACTCGTACTGCAGCGGAGCCGCTTGCATCTTGCCTGCCCCGTCCCGCCCCCTAAGGGGTGGGGGGGAAACGACGGGAATCACTGCCGAGCCCGACGTTGCTCCCGGGCTTGGAGTGAAGGTCGCGGGCAGCGACCAGAACCACCGGAGGAGGATAGAGACAACGGGAGCCGCCAAAGGCGGCAGCGGCAAAACCCAACGTCGGGGGACGGAGGCGACATCCCTTTCCCGGTCACCCGCCGCCCGGCCTGGCCTTGTCTCACTCAGCGCCGGGACTGGCCTGGGACAAGACACCACCGGACATCCTATCTCTCGTCCTGACAGGTCTGAGACTGAAAAAGGTCCGAGGAGAAACCGTCCACGAGAGGAAAATGACGGTTACTCTGGAGAAGAAGGGGCAGGGTCTCAACTGTAGCTTTGAACTCTTGGGATTCTTCCCTTGTCCTGATGGCTATAACCGCCGAGGCATGCGCAGTTAGCGCGAAGGCTGATTGGGCATGCGCACTTCAGGTTCACTCACTCCTTTTTTTTTTTTCCCTCTTCCCGAAGCGTCTTCTTTGGAAGTTCTTCGCTTTGCTTTCCCTTTTCCTCTTCCTCCTCCTCCGAAGTGCGGAAGTGAGACTGTGAGCTAATCATAACCTCTGCTTGGTCTAGGATCGAGAATCGAAAACCGAATGTTTGAGCGAAGCTGTTTTCAGCTTTGGAAAGGGGGTGGGGAGGCAAGATCTGTCCAAGCGCCGCCTGTGGCCTGGAGGACTCATGACTCCTAGTCGGCGTCTGTACTTGAACATTCAAAACAAAACAACGCGGGATAATACTGGATTCCTTCATATAATTGGTTTGACAGTAAACGAACGTTGCGGATTCTGTGGAATTATAGGAAGCTGAAGGAATGTTTTTCCGTGCAGTTACGAAAATGTGTGGCGCTACGTTGGCGGCACAAGAATAACTTTGATATAACTCTTAATAACTTCAGGTTCTCAAATTTCCTTGGAAAAAAACATTTTCTTAGTTTTGAAATATATGCAGTTCAAGAATCAAGTTTAAGTGTGTTTGTGCTTAATCTTGTTTTCCTAAACTGTCTGGAAACTGCCTGATACCATGAACTGCAATAATGTAAAAGTTTCCTTGATCTCTGTAACCCAAAATAAAAAATGTACAGAAATTAAAGTCCTGGATGAGCCTCCAGAGAACGTCTCATAAAAGTGTCCATTCACCTGTTTGAAATTCCAGAAGAATGTCATAAGAAACAAAAGGGCTGTACTGCCTTCCAGGGCTTACAAATGGGAAACAAAGACAAATCTTCTGCTTTTCTTCCCATGCAAGCAGTTTGGAGATAACATTGCCTCTTCTCCCCTGATAGTAATATCACTTAGACTTCTATACCACTTCACAGTCCTCTCTAAGGAGTTTGCAGTCAGCATATTGTCCCCAACAATCTGGGTCCTCATTTTACTGACTTTTCCTCCATAAATTTCTCATTCCAAGGTATTCACAATATCTTGTGACTATTCCATGGATTATGTGTTGTTCTAAAGTTCCAATTAGTCCAATTAGAATAGCAATGGCACTTAGACTTATATACAGCTTTATACTGCTTTACAGCACTCTCTAAGTGGTTTACAGAATCAGCAATTGCCCCCAACAATTTGGGTTCTCATTTTACTCACCTTGGAAGGATGGAAGGGTGAGTCAACCTTAAGCCTGGTGAGATTTGAACTGCCAAATTGTAGGCAGGTGGCTGCAGCAGAAGTAGCTTGCAATGCTGCACTCTAACCACTGGCCACAGAGGCTCCTAATATATATATATATTCCTAGTATTTTGAAAAAAAATTTTTATAGAGAATGGCAGAAATAGCGTTTTTACAGTGCTTCAGAAGACTCTTGATTAGGAAAATTCTACTTCATTTAGCCAGTTTAAACAGATCTTTTTGGAGTTCATCATTTTCACTTTCTACCACCCTGCATAGAGTGGCTGTAAACTTAGTGCTTATTTCTAAATTATGACAATTTGTGAACAAATTACAGGAAAAGGGGATCACGTGTCCTTGGGACACAGCAACAGTCATAAATATGAAACAGTTGCCAAGCAGCTGAATTTTGATCATGTAACTTACGACCACAATTGAACTGAAAACTTAAATGAGACATTTGAGTTTTGCCCCATTTTACAACCTTCCCTGCCACACTTGAGTCACTGCAGTTGATAAGTTAGTAAATGTGGTTGGTCAAATGGCCATTAAATGAATGGCTGTAAGTCAAGGAATACCTGTAGTTATGTTACTGTGGATTTTAATTGTGGTTGAACCAATTTGGTATAGTAATGGCACCAGGTAGAAACTCTTAAGACCATGAATGCTAGTCCTGCCTTAGGCACAAAGGCAGTGGGTGACCTTGGGCCAATCATTCTCTCTCAGCCCTAGGAAGGAGGAAATGACAAACTACTTTTGAAATCTTGCCAAGAAAACTGCAGGGTTGTCCAGGTGATCAGCAGGAATCAACACCAACTTGAACTAATAAAAATGTAGCAATATATGTAGTTTACTTATATCTACAGTACTTTACTGTGCCATTGTGGTTGTTTTGCTATTCTGTAAGCTGATATCAGTCTGCTTAGATTTGATAGGAAATAAAAGCTTTCTTATAGCTGGTCAATAATTACTAGCTTGGCTTTTCAATAAGACTTCTCAACAGGTATTTCTGCAGCAACCTTTCTTCAGAATGTTCAGAATGTTGTAACAATTGCTCATCCCATTACATCAGGGGTCCCCAACCGCCGGTCTTACCGGGCCGCTGGTTGCTGGGCGCCGCCATCTTTTTTTGGTAAAAAAGTGCTTCCGGTGAGCTTTTCCGGGTAGAAAGCTCACCGGAAGCACTTTTTCGTCAAAAAAAGATGGCGGCGCCCAGTTGATGCCAGTACCGGGCCGCGGCGCCCAGCTGATACCGGTACCGGGCCGCGGCGTCAAAAAGGTTGGGGATCCCTGCATTACATTACAAAGCATGTATTACATTACAAAGCATGTATTAAAGAACTGTAAAATTATGATACATTACATAATTTCTTGTCACCTGGTGGATGTCCACATATACAAGTCTTGCTGTGTGTGGCTCTGTACTCAAGAACTTTAAAGTGTTCATTTAAAAAGAGAAGGTTTCACCTCAGATAAAGGGGAATGTGCTCTATGGGTGGAAAGCAAATGAGCATGAAAGGTTGGACTAGAAAAATAAAATTCAGGCCTGTCAAATCGGCAGCCTGCAGACCTGATACGGTCCCTGTAGGCCATACTCACCTTGGCTCCACAATATGTCATGCTCTGGCCAGCAACATGATCGAGTTTGAGACCTGTGGACTAGATTATGATCACTTCCATCCCCGCAGAATACAATTAGCCAGGGCAAGTCATAGGGTGGGAAATCAAAAGCCAAAGGACTCTATGATTAAGAGGACTTCTTTAGACGCTAATATTATTATAAGACGTACTTATGCTGCAATAGTTACTTTGTATTATGCAGTACAATTTAAAGGAAGTTAATTGAGTTATTAAGCTGTCTGAATTTTTTTTCCAATCAAAGCTGATTTCAATAAAAATATTCTTCCTCAATTAGCAAGTGCTTAATTTCATTGGAAAATTACTGCAGATGCTAATCCATATCAACAACAAACATGTTAAAAACTTTATTTTACATTATATACATTAGGAAATATTCATTACCAACAACAATACAGACCATAAATCAGTTTTAATGTACTTTGTTCTTACTTTATCACAGTATAAAGAACATATACAAAAAGGACGTATTTTCTCTAAAACATGGCATCTACATATCCCACTGAAAACAATCAGAATAGTTTTGCTCAAAACTAAAATTCCTGTGATGTGTTATAACCATTTAATTTTGTGAGGTAGTAACTAAAATTCTGGCTAGGTGTTAAGATATTAAGAGAAAAAAAAATGTGACAACAGTAGTAAGGCAAAACATTTCTTTTAAACAAAAGCAAAATTCCTTAAAACAGTTGCTCCACCTAGTATCACTTTTTCTCCAGAACAGGTAGTCAATCTATCACCATATCCTTGATGGCAGTGGGTTGGAAGCATCCTTCTCTTCAGAAAAACATATGTGCATGTTGCATGTTATATATTAGTGCCAAGAAGCTGTTATCTTCTACTAATTATTAATGTACTCCAGTTTCTCTCACAACTGGCCTTTAGAAGTTATAGCTCAGCATCACAAGGAAGGTCATAATTTCATCACTCCTTTTGTTAGGGTGCATATGGGTTGCTGGCTTTCCTGAATCTGAGAGGCTGGTCTACATGTGAGGTTGGGAAAACCAGTTGCAATAAGCATTTCCTTTTTTTTAAAAGAAATGCTTTCCTCTGTTACTGATCTTCTGTTTGAAAACTTTGTTGCTATGTCTGAGGAAGAGCAAAGTTCCTTGAATGTAATTTTAAAACCATTGATTCATATTCCTCACTAAAAGAAAAGCTTCTATCTACACATGAATCCAGCAGGAGCCCTATGGCCCTATCATCCTATAAGAATCAGAGGAACTCTGCAGATCCAACAGGGTACAATGGTAATTCATTAGTGATAGTCAATTTCTTCTTAATAAAGTATACGTTGTTTTAATGCAAGTGCTAATGAATATCTGCAAAGTACTGCATACAGTACTAAGGCCTTTTGCACATGGTTATCTGGATCTAACTCCAAATATTTAGACACTTCCACAGTGTGGAGTGCTTTAAAGTTTTGCATGATATAGTAGCGAGTAAGACTCATCATAATAAAGCTTATATTATCATTGTACACACTTATAATTACACCAAGGTACCACTATTGGATTTATTCCAATTCAAAATAGGTATTTTTTTTTCTCCAACCATAGAAAATAATTAAGAGGATTTTCCTTAAATATAAAAATATAGGTGTTCAATTGGCTGGTTTCACAAAGAGAACTACCTAAATAAACTAAAATTATAAAGCCTAAATTATTTCCACAAATGTACTTTTGTGACTGAATATAATTACATATTAACACTTTGTGCAACCAAAACACCAGTGTACTTGCATAGAACTAAAAAGAAGATTGTAATAGGATTACCGCCTTGATTACAATGTCTAAAAGATAAGATTTATTTATATTAGTAAATTACATAATAAAATACAATAGTGTTATTTAAATGCACTGTGTTTATCAATAGCATCCCATTAGTCCTTAAAATAGTACCCAAACACAATTTTCTGTCCTCAGCAAACTTTACATATCTGTACAAGTAAAATATTTTGTCCATTATCTACAGAAAAATCAAGAGAGGCCTCCATAATACACTTCAACAAAAATACTGCATATATGTACAAACATTACATAATAGTAAATCAAGAGTTCTGCAGAATGTGCTAATCATATGCATATCAGTCGGGCAAGCATTCTTGTTTTCACTCATACATCACAATAAATTACAAAATAACTGTAGTTGGGATCCATTTGCTTTTGTGCAATTGCTGTAAGATGTATTGACGCAGTAGTGTTTCCTTATCTTGTTGCCTTTCAGTAACTGTTCTCATGACCTGCTAAGATGTACAAGTTGCTATTGGCAGTAGGGTTATCTGTTGGTCTACTCTCCAGTACCACAACTCTGGGGAAAAAAGAATGTCCCAAAAACAATAATTTTGGCAAATATATACAACCTTTATGAAAGCCCTTAATTGGGTCTTGCTTTCAGATTGGGGCAGGATGAGGCTTGTGACACAACATTAAGCCAACTGATAATCTTTTTTTCTGGATCTAATCAAGTATGCTTGTTCTCCTTTATCCAACCACACCTTAAATGAGAGAGCAGCTGCCAGGGATTGGTTACTTGCCCAGTGAAATGACTGAATGGCAATAATGCACTAACCAAGTTCCTTCCCTATAAATGATGGAAGGATTTGAGAGTCTCTAAAATCTAATACTTAAAGCTGTCCAGGAGAGAAAGACAAGTAAGAGAATTGGACATAGCAGATCTAGTGATTCTTGCTTCACCTCAGCAAAATAATCAGTTTGGCAGCTACTAATGTAGTGGGTCCCAAGCCCAACAGATAATTTATTCCAAAACTACTCCTTCCTTATATGTTGTGATTGTGATTGATCATACCTGTCAGATCCAAGGAGTCTAAATATTCTTGTACTGTCAGAAATTTCCTGGGTGATCTATTTGAAAAATCAAATATTTAACAGAGTGAAAGTGCATATAACAAATGCTCAATGAATCAAACTTTGCAAACATCTTATTTTGCAATATTAAATAAAATTAACTGAAGTAATATCTAAATTGAATAAATACATACACACATACATATACACAGTGGCTAACTAGCTAGGGCTACCAAATCTAGCAGCAATTTCTGGACATCTACTAGATGGAAACAAAACAGAATAGAAAACCTAAGTCTTTGTACTGGTTGTCTCGACATTGGTAGCCTAGATCTGGCAGCCCTACTTTTAAATATTATTACAGTATTTCAGGGGAACTGAAATTAATTCTATAATACACAAAGTGCTAAGTGACTCAAACTGTACAATTTTACGGTATATGTTATCATTATTAACCCCTTTTCCATATGAGGTGACTAAGGCTAAGGGAGTACTTTAGGGTATTGAGTAAGTTCACAGAAAAGCCATAATTTCTACTGAGATGTTCTACTTAATATCTTGGATTGCTATGATTCTCAGCCATTTCTATGAGGGGAAAGTATTTACAACTACCATATTTTGAAAAATAAACTGAAGTTTTAGCTAATAAGAATACTAAAAATTTTCATTTTGTTTTCAGATTATTTTTCAAGGATTTTTTTTTTTTAGCTTTCAATATTTACCTCATTTGAACGAAAACTCCTGCCTTGCATCCCATGCTTCCAAAAAGCCAAAACGCTATCTTGTAAGCAAACTAGCAGGGAAGAAAACACAAATTAGTTTTTTTGTGACTGGGTTCTAAAAAAACACTTTCCTACTTAAACTGTTTTGATTCCATACACAATTTAAAGAATGAAGGACTGAAGTTTAGGTTGCAAGAAGTTTTCATTTTTTTCTTATGTTATATGTGACAAACTTGTTTCCTTTCAGTATTCTGAACCTTCCATGTATTATCTGAAGTTGGATGGGCAGAATGCTATAAAGCAAATGCTATTTTAGGATTATATTATCAGAAACACTAAGTCCAGATCATGGACAGTAATTATCTCACTACATTCTATCTTGATCAAGGCCTCACTTAAGATATTGTGTCCCTGAAGCCAGCATGGAGAACTACCAAGATGGTCTGGGGACATGAAACCAAGTTTTCTGAGGAATAGTTAAAGGAACTAATTAATTTTAACTGGCAAAAGAGAAGATTGAGAGGAGATGCAACAGTCATTTTCAGATATCATATAGTGGAGAGAGTCAATTTCTTTTCTGTCACCCGGGAGGGAAGGACCAGAACCAATGAATGAATTTGAAATTCATTCAAATTACATGGAAATAAAAGTCAGGTAAGATATTAGCAGTAGCAATTAGACTTATATACCGCTCCATAGCATTTTACAGCACTCTCTGTTAGCATATTTCCCCAACATTCTGGGGTTTTAGTTTACCGACCTTGGAAGGATGAGTCAACCTTGATTCCATTGGAATCGAACTCCAGACTGTGGATAGAGTTAGCCTGCAATACCACATTCTAATCACTGTAAGATGTGCGGGATGCCTTAAGGAGCATGAAAGGCCTCATGTATCTTTTAATTATCTTGACTTCCAGGGATATTAAAACTTTAGAGCTTCATAAAGAATAATCCAATGAACGTTTATAGTCAAACATTTTTAGTTTTTCCTTGACTATGTTTTGGAAGGATACCATTGTCCTAATTTTGTATCTGTTTTTAACAATGTATGAAATGGCTTGCCATTAGAGACATTAAAAATTGTGCATAATGAGCATCTTTCTACCTTCAAATTTTCATCTATATAATGCAAATTTTCATTATATAATATAGTGAAATATTAGAATAGTTAGCTGACTAAATGCTACTCACCTATAGATTCAATTTGGAAATCAAAGGTGAGTTCGGAGGACAGTTTTCGACTAGATTTTAATCTGCCTTGCAAATTTACAATTTTTATACAGCCTGAAAAAGTAAAAACATTTATGACTCAGCAACATTTCAAAGTGTATCTTATCCAAATATTTATATATGGACCATAGTTGTCACTTACAATCTAAGCAGACTAAAATGGTATCTCTCTCCAGTTGTGTTACATGTACAACACTTGTCTGTGTAGTATCTATAACAAAAGAACTCAGTTAACATTTTTAATATAAATATCAAGAAAAATATTATGTAGTTAAGCTATATCAACATCCTAATTGTGTGTTTGTGTGTATTAGTTTTACAGGATAATTTTTCTTCTTAAAAAAACATACTCATGCTACCTGCTGATTAGTTTGTAAATAAGATAAATTTAAAAAGGTGTTGAGATGCAAGCTATCTTTTAAAGTGGAGGAATAGGAAATAGCTCAAGAATCATACTTTCCTCCAGCAAACCTAAATAATACTAGGATATGGGGTTCCAATTAGGAAGCCCATGCTTTCCCTAAAAATGACTAAAATGGAGTATTTCCTATTTTATTTTGCTGAAAGAACAAGATGGTTCCTCCCTCCCACCAAGCATGAAGGACAAAGCAAGAAATGATATCCTTAATATGAAGATAATGCTAAACAACAAAGAAGACAGAATTAAAGACAATGAGAGGGGGGTCTGATAAATTCCCTTTGACCCTTGGATTAGAAGCGCCCAATGTCTTCCACAAAGGCAAAGAACAGATAAGAACAAATAAGTTCCCTCTCAGGGTACAACTCTGATCAGAACTATTTTCACAATATTCAGTGCCTGGGGGAAAACCCCCCGCCCCCAGCCAAATACTATTTGTCCAGTGAAAAGACACCGAGTGAGCCAAATAGAGAGTCAAGCCAAAGAGCACCAATGACTCCAACATATATGTAGTTTAACCATTAAACCATCTTGGAATGGAAATGTTATAAACCTAGAATCTGAAAGTACAGAAATAAAAAAAAAAACTAAAGCACAGAAATCCAGGAAATAGTACAGAATCCATTAGTGTAGAATTTATGGAATTATCACAGGAAATAACAAACCTGTTTCTGTAAACCATGAAGAGGTAGAATTTGGATTGATAGTTTCAAATTTCACTACTTGGTTGAAATCTCTCCCTTTAGTTACACCAACACAAACCAAAGGGAATTCCTGTTCAGGCACTACAAGCATTTCAAACAACCTCAGAGGACATGGTACAGGAAAGTCTATGTGCTAAATCAAGAAATATGTTAGTTGCACAGTAATTATCAAAGTAGAATATTATTAAATTATTTCAACAATTTATTACAATAAAATAGGCTTTCATTCTGTTAAAGTTTTTTTTAGTAAATTCAATCCTCCTTTATGAAATAGATCAATAGGTAATATTCTAAAAATAAAGTCTTAAAGGAGATTGTGGTTTTGTTGTTAAAACAAAATGTCAATTATAATCCTTTGAGGTATCTGAGTGGTAACTTTGAATTTTTAATTATATCTCAAGTCTATGGACAGTGCAAATGTGGAAGCACAGTTGAATCCATGCTAAAAAATCCATGCTTCCTAAATGTGGATTCCTACCAAGCAGGGAAAAGGTGGAAGAGCAACAGTCTTCCCTACATGCCACTTTGGAAATTGTCCTGTGCCAGTGACAATCCTGGAAGAATATTTTTCTCTTTTGGACAACACGTTGGAAAAATTTAGTTTTATATCCAAGATAATTTTTCAACACTCCCCAGAAAATTATCCATCCACTTTGCTAGCCATCAAATCCACTCCCCCCCCAAAAAAACACTGATATAGCTCCAGGATCTTTATTCAGGCTGAATTGCTGTGAAGATGTTTTAACCTCATCTTTGTTAATAATATTGCAACAACTGCTGCTGTTACTACTAGTAATGATCTCTCTCTCTCTCCTCCCCCCTTCTTTATTCTTAGAATTAAATTATTTTAAAGGGAACCTACCTTGATTAACATGAATTTCTGCATTGGTTCAACCCATTCTAGTAGAATAATACTAGACTGTAGTGCCCCAGAAAGGTATTTATGTCCTGTATAAGGATTCCTCACTGGAAAAAAAAAGAGAACAGTCTCCTTAGTGGAGGGTTTCTTAAATCTTTTGCAATCCCTTTACTGTAATTTTAATCTAGAATAGAATAGAATAGAATAGAATAGAATAGAATAGAATAGAATAGAATAGAATAGAATAGAATAGAAT